TAGAGAGAACGATCGTGTTTAAGCTCATTTGAGAGGGCTCATAAAGACCTAGATGACTGTTATGACCTCACCTTTCTGATGGTGCAATACGAAGGTGGGTATAGGATCTCAGTGGCGGTACTAGATAGAACGGTCGTGTTTGAACTCATTTGAGAGGGCTCATAAAGATCTAGGTGACTGTTATGATCTCACCTTTCTGATGCTGCAATCCGAAGGTGGATATAGGATCTCAGTGGCGGCACTAAATAGAACGGTCGTGTTTGAACTCATTTGAAAGGGCTCATAAAGACCTAGGTGACTATTATGACCTCACCTTTCTGATGGTGCAATCCGAAGGTGGGTATAGGATCTCAGTGGTGACATTAGGTAGAACGATCGTGTTTGAACTCATTTAAAAGGGTTTATAAAGACATAGTTTAATGTGATTATATTACCTTCATGATGGTGGACTAAGAAGGTGGGGTAAAAGATCTCAGTTATGCCACTACAAAACACCATCGTATTTGGGCTCATTTGAAAGGCTCATCAGGAAGTAACTTCACAAATAATATAAATGTAATAAATAGTACAAACAGTATTATTACTCACTTTATAATGTTTTCAGGCAATTAAAAAAGCAGCAAAACTCTCAAGTAGGTACAAAATTAGAAATCTGCCATATATTTTACAGGCAATAAAAAACAAAGCGGAACGGAAAAAGCATAACCAACTACAACCAGAAGACGAAAATATCTGCGTACTTCAAGAAAACCTACAAACACCATTAACACTAGTTCCTATAAATGACCAAATTACCTGTACTCAGTATTTAGAATTCAATGATTTTTGACTGATTTATTATACGAATACTACACATTTAATAAAACAACCTTTTCGAAATTTATTTTGTTTAACTTATATTAATTTGTGACGTTTGGGTGCTTCAACTTTATTTTAGTATGTAACACGTCGAGAGCTCAATTAGATAAACATAGAAAGCTAGGCCATCATAACTATTTCCGTTACTGCAAACCGATAAACATTATCTGGTAAGAGACCTTCAGAATTTTTTTGGGCTCACCGTAACCGGAGTGCAAGTTAGTATCAGTGGGGTGTCGATCGCTCTACATCTACAGATAGGTAATTTAATAAACAGATAAAAATAAATAACACATTATTAAATAAATAAAATTTACCATAATGAATAAAATTATCATAATATCTGACCCATTTCTTAAAATTGTCTTAACGCCGACCTTATCATGAATGAAAATATGTTTTTTAGTGTTAATATATAGGAAACGATATATATGTATATATACGGAACGGATTTCATTTCTCGGTCGACGGAGCCGCAGGCGTGCGCGTTTAGTTGGCGTGACTCCTATAAATTAAAAATATCATTTCCTATTCTCTATTAACTAGCTGTTCCCCGCAACTTCGCCCGCGTGTAATTTATTACGATTGTATTTCATGGGTTTTAATTTTTTTGCGCGGAACCCTAATTCTTTTTCTAAATTAAAAGTAGCCTTTGTTCCTCCTTATAATATCAGCTATCTGCCACAGAAAGTCTCGTCAAAATCGGTTCAGCCGATTCGGAGATTAGACGGAACAAACAGACAGACGAAAATTTTAAAATTGTGTTTTTGTTATAAGTACCGTATGTACTTTCATATGTATTTAGTAAAAAACTGTTATTTTGAAGAAGAAGAAAAATATTAAGATTTAGATATTATTAAATATCATTTAATTTATCTATCTATATATATATATATATATATATATATATATATATATATATATATATTATTTAGAAATATCGATATTTATATCTAATATTTTTGGACGACATATATTGAAATATAAGTTTGATATTGAAGTATAGATATTCGACAGTCGATATATTTTTTAAATAATTAATTTTTTTTATTTTTTCCCGTAAATCATTTAATCTACAACACCATCGTTAACTTAAATCCTTAAAAAAAAACATTATAAATAAAAACTAGGGAAAAATGAAAAACAAAATATAAAAAAATATTATGTTTTTCATTTTTCCCCAGTTTTTTTATTTGATTTATCTCTGTGATATTAAAATCACTATAATCTATGAAACTTAGTACTATTTTACTGAGTTTGAGTTTTGGCAGGAGCTTGACAATCAACGGATGGTTGCTCCTGTAATCGTTTGAAGTGGATTTTTATCAAAGTGATGCGATTATGAATATTAAGTGTATGCGCATGTGAACTATTAGAGAAAACAACGAAATAACTGCTTCGATGTTGGTATAAGCCTCAAGTTATTTTGATCTCTTAGGCGTCTTATGATTTACTTCCGTGCTATCAGAAATAGCTGTTAAATATTTGATTTGTTCAGCTACATCCGTAGCATCTGAACGAATTACTACTACAATCAATCTTCTAGTGCCCAATAATCGCAGTATTGTAACAGCTGAACATATAAAACAAGGCTTCCTCTATTCACCTCTCGCTCGCACACTGTCGTTATTTATATTCACACCCGTCAGTAAAGACTGCAAAAATACGTTGCGATGTGCGTGTTACGTACGTTCATCGTAACTTAAGTCCAACTTGTAATTACAATCTAACAAAATGCCACAAACTACAAAAAAATATATTCAGCCCGGTATCGTTGTGAGCTACGACGGGCTTTGTTAGTTTTCTTCATTATTATTGTTGATTTTGTTAGTTAATAATTTTGTATAAAATAAATTTATTAAAATAGAAATATTGATATAATAAAATGAATAGTCTTTAATGATTATCTCAAGTCTAAATAACGCCATATTAATATATCCCACACAGGTGAAGCCAGAGCTGGTCGCTAGTGATAAATGTTATTTTAAAATTAATGTACCTACTTGCGTATACATTTTTTTTCAAATATGTTCCCATTATTAGAAAATTTCCAATTAACCGAATAATATAACGTTATAACGATATAACGTTATTACATTTAAAACGTACATACAGTCATGTACGTTTTAAATGTCAATAAAAATACGAGTATCTGTTCAATAAACATGTTGTAGGTGTATGTATAGTGTATCTAAATATCTTTCCGTAAATAAAAAAGTAAAGTTACATTCTCCCACAGCTGGACAGGTCTTTCATTTCTGAGAGGATCTTGGAGCAATCAGTCAGCGCGCAAGAGCCTGTCGGTGAACTTCAGATGCCCACGAAATGTTTTATTCCATAGACATGTTAGTTAGCTCATGATGTTTTCCTTCCCCGCCACGCCGTGCACATTGTAAATCAGCACTAATTGCAATTAACAATTTCACATGGTGGGAATCGAACCCGAGTTGCTTGCATACTGTGAAATTTTCGGCGACGACTTTTTAGATATTTTCTTTATAGAATAAAAAAATATTGGTAAATCCAATTGGGCATACCTTAAGCGCATTAAAAAAATTACGTATAACATGATTATACGGAATTTTTAAAGTAGTTTAAATACATTTCGGCAGCACTATCGGCTTCAACACCCTCTAAAACTATGAAAATGACACCCAAGCTGAAATAATTGATATCTATTGCAGCCGCCATCTTGGATTTACATTTCGACAACACTATCGGCTTCAACACCCTCGAAAACTATGAAAATGACACCCATGATGAAAAAATTTATACCTATTGCAGCCGCCACCTTGGATTTACATTTCGACAGCACTATCGGCCTCAGCACCCTCGAAAACCATGAAAATGACACCCATGATGAAAAAATTGATACCTATTGCGGCCGCCATCTTGGATTTACATTTCGACAACCCTATCGGTTTCAACACCCTCGAAAACCATGAAAATGTCACCCATGATGAAAAAATTGATACCTATTGCGGCCGCCATCTTGGATGTATATTTCGACAACCCTATCGGTTTCAACACCCTCGAGAACCATGAAAATGTCACCCATGACAAAAAAAATTATACTACTTACTTTTAGTACGTGCTACTATTATTTATTCTGTGGTTTTAAAATATTGTAATAAATAAATCTCTTATTATTATTATAATCAAGTATTTAAGAAATTTGGTTATTCGAATATTGTGTATTTGTACAGCGATTATATAATGTACTCTGTGACAGCGATCTTTTTGAGCCCCTGCAAACAACCGAATGTCCACTCACGACGGCGACTGAAGCCGAACTAAACTACTCTTTGGCTGTAGCTCCCCATTTACAGAAATAATTTACATACAAGGCTACCAAATCAACGAAAATTTCGCCATTATGGAGCGGAAAAAAATTAATTATAGCTAAACAAAACAAAATTACACTGCCATTTACATTCAGTGGGTTCCCACATGATAGATGAAGAGATTAAAAAATAGATTAAGTTAAACAATTGATATTTTCAAAAGTTATCGTGTTTACAAGCCCGCAAGACTTAATAAATCCATAAATCCACACCATAAGCCACTAAATCCCCTTTTTTTATTTAAAAATAGCAATTAATCGATTTTAAAAAAATATTAATAAGTTCAACCAACAATCATTTATCTTTCTAACAATGTGCTTTTTATATCATTTATTTGTATAATATGATTGCTAGATACGATTTTATTGGATAAAACGTTGGAATCTTAATTTTTAGGCGATAGTAGAACATACGTTGCGCTTTCACTTAAGGTATGCAAAAGATTCAGAACGACCGCGGCTCTCGACGACAGTAAAGTAATGAACATACTTATTGTAAAGAATTATTTATCTTTATTCTTGGAAATATTTTTATTTGACCTTATTGTCCTTACCTTATGTTTGTACAAATACAAGCACTGTTTAATAAACGGCTCGAGTGAGCCAGTACGGTTACATCACTAAACACGTAAGTATTTAAGTAGATAAGGATTAGCAATATAACATGATTTTTGTGTCAAAGATTAGAATGTTACGTCCCGTGCTTACATAACTTATATAAAACATGTAGATATAGTAATATTGTGGTCTTGGAAACAAAGTTAAAGTGATAAATGAGTTCATCAATCTAGGCAAAGGCATGAAACTGTATAAAGTATTATGTTATTGTAAAACGTAAGTAAAATATGACACGGTTTTCATAATATGCTTATCAATTTAAAAAACTGTGTTTGAATAAGTTTACTGTTATACCTATGTATTATACTTACTACTTCAAGGTGAGCAACAACCAATATTTCATCACTTCGTTAAGTACCTAGTACCTGAATTTAATGTAAAATTATTCACCGTGGTCTAATTAAATCGAACTTAATGCCTATTCTACATTCAAAGCTAGGTTATCGGCTTTCTGACTCAGAAATTATTGCAGCGACGTGTCATGACCTCGTCTAACTTTTTGTTAAGCCAACTCGGAACATGTAGTTCTGCCTTCTTCGGTAGCTGGCGCAATGGATTCACTTTGAGTTCACTTTTTATATGACTTTGTACAGTCAATAACTCATACACAGCTTCACTTATAAAGTCTAGATATTGAGGTTTTTTTTTTTGCACTAATAAAATATAATGTAAACAAGAGTTCTTCTGGTTCATATTCATATATATACGATTTGTTATTAATTTTAATACAGCTCCACCTATCGGACATAATATATATATAGATAGCATAGCTACGAACCATGATGTTGGCAAAAAATATATAAGTGAAATATAACCTCAATGAGGGGTACTTAAGCGTTCAAACCAAGTGAGTTGGTTATCAATCACTATACCTAAGAACTTAGCCATTTTTGCTTCCTCAATATTAAAGCCGTGGTAGGAAATATTAATGTTTGGGTTTTCACGGCGCTAACGGAAGGGCATTACTTTTGTTTTATTTAAATTTATTATTAAATTATTATTATTAAGCCACTCTATAATTTCGCGTAAATCTGAGAACTTAGTTTTTATTTTTATTTTTTTTATTTAAATTTATTATTATTAAGCCACTCTATAATTTCGCGTAAATCTGAGAACTTAGTTTTTATTTTTATTTTTTTAGAATTGTGCCAGTATCTTAAGCGATCGGATTTATGATTAGTTATTTTAACTGTAATAGCTCAGATAGTACGGAGATCGATAAAGCTACTTTTGGTAAGTAAGCTTGCAATTTTGCATTTAAATTTTATTTCAAACTGTTTGTAATATCAAAATAACAGCTTTCTACTAAATGCATATGAAAGTATCTGTCTGTCTGTCTGTATGTTGACCGATTTTGACGGGACTTTCATTGGCAGAAAAGCTGATGTTATAAGGAGTTACTTTAGCTTATCTTCACGCACAATCCCTGACGGGGTAGCCAGAGAGAACAGATCGCCAAGTGTCACGATCCTTACAAACCTCTTTCGCTTCTTTCAGATTCATTATCTTCTTCATACATGCACGTCTAGGTATTCGAGTACTCTTGAACCTACCCTCTTCGAGCAATTTGCTCACATGGTCTTCGAAAGTTAGTCTCGGTCTACCTCGACACCTTTTAATATTAACTTTCGCGCTATATATTTTCATCACCATTCGGTCTTCACTCATTCGCTCAACGTGCCCAAACCACCGAAGCACGCCCTTATCAATTTTTGTGATAAGGTCATCTTTCAAACCTGCCATATTGCGAATCTCTTCGTTTCGCTTTCGGTCGGCCATGGTAAAGCCGCACATTTTACGAAGAGATCGCATCTCCACTGCATTCAACTTGCTTTTATGCTTCTTCTGGCATACCCAGATATCGCTGCCATATAACAAAGTCGGTACCAACACTGCGTTATGTATTGCAAGGCGTGCACTCTTCGCTACGCCTTGCCTTTTGACTAATGCAGTCAGGGCACCATTCTAAATCACATCTTCCATCCCGGCTAAAAGCACTCCCCAAGTATACAATTTCATTTACCTGTTCTAGACATTCCTAATTTACCCATATTTCACACTTCGTTCTCTCTTCGTCCCTTTCAAATACCAGAACCTTAGTTTTATTAGCATTCAAACGGAGACCTTTAATTTCACATTCCTCTTTCATACACGTGAATAATGCCTGCAGTTCTGACTGTGATGGTGCAATAAGCACTACATCATCAGCATACAGCAGACAATTTACTTTTATGTCACCCAATTTCACACCCAAACAGCTATCTTTCAGCTTCTGTAAACAGCTGTCGAGATACAGTATGAACAGCCAGGAAGACATGACACAACCCTGCTTTACGCCCGTTTGGACGCTAAACATGGGTGACAGGTCATGCCCTACCCGCACACAGGCTTTACAGTCACAGTAAAGAGACTGCACAGCCCTTAGCAATCGACCATCCACACCATACCCCGGCAACAGTTCCCACATTTTCTTCCTTACAACCTTATCAAATGCTTTCTCAAGATCCACAAAAGCACAGAAAATCTTCTGGTTAGTAGCCAGAAGCTTTTCCGTGATCATGCGGAGAGAAAACATTTGATCCGTGCATCCTCTTCCAGGTCTAAATCCGCATTGTGCCTCCCATAGAAATCTTTCCGATTTCTCTTGCATCCTACGTGTCAAAACCTTCGAGTAAACTTTACTTGCTAAACTGGTCAAGCTGATCGCCCGATAGCACCCGCAGTCAAAATGTGAACCTTTACCTTTATATAAAGGCACAATGACTGCGGATCGCCAATCATCCGGGACATCCCCCGTCCGCCAGCACAAATTGCACAGCAGATGAAAGCTGTCCCAGACGCGAGGCCCACCATACTTGACCATTTCAGCAGTAACTCTGTCTAGTCCCGCAGCCTTACCACATTTCAAACTTCGAATCGCACGTTCAATCTCCTATATCATACTGATGACCTCAGTGTCATCGAGGTCCGGGTCTGGCGTACCAGTCACGGCGTCATCCCCGGATCCCTCACTAAGATCATCACACGCATACATTTCTCTATAAAATTCGCTCCATCGCTGCATGACGTCCGATTTTTCTGAGAGGACGTCATTAGTTCTCGAAAGCACTGTTCATTCTTAAGGCCATCGCACCACTTCGGGTCCTTCCAACCTCTTTCCAGAAGAGTTTGGAGTTCTCCTTAAAGTTGTGCGACAACCTTTCGTCCGCTTCAATTCTATACCTTTCACGCACTTCCTCAATCAATGCTTTCGTGTGAACTTTCTGCAGCCTATATCTTTCTTTTATCTTCTCTCTCATATCCTTATCATTACTAGAGGCCAAGTAGTCTAACCATGCTTTCTTCTTCTTCTTTACAGCTTCTTTCACTTCATCGTTCCACCATGCATCTCTTCTTTTACTACTGCCTCTTTTTATTGTTCCACACACTTCTTCCGCTGCACTTACCATTCCATCCCTAACGTTCTGCCATGTTCTTTCTACACATTCTTTTCTGCCATCGATGGTGTCAAGCTTTTCGGCTACTCTCGCATGATATTTGTCCCTAGTAACCGCTTCCTTTAGTTACTTTAGGCTACTTTTATTTTTAAAAAAGGATTAGGGTTCCGTTCCGCGTAAATAGTTAAGACCCATGAAATCCATCGTCATCGTCATCATCGTTACAGCCCTTCACAAATCCACTGCCGACCATGGGCTTCTCTCAAGGAATGCCATAAACAAAGGTCTTGAGCCATCTGCATCCATCGACTTCCTGTATGTCTTACCAGGTCGTCAATCCATCTAGTGGGGAGACGCCCTACACTACGTCTGCCGGTACGAAGCTATCACTCGAGAATCTTTCTTCCCCATCGGTAGTCAGTTCTTTGAGCTATATGGCCGGCCCATTTCCATTTCACCTTACTAACCCGTTGGGCTATGTCGGTTACTCTGATTCTATTGCGGATATCCTCGTTTTTAAGTCTATCATGCAGAGAAACTTCGAGCATAGTCCTCTCCATAGCTCGCTGAGCGACCTTGAGCTTCCTCATACGGCCAGCAGTGAAAGTCCACGTTTCAGATCCATAGGTCATCACTGGTAACACGCACTGGTCGTACAATCTTGCTTTGAAGTTTTGAGGTAAGTCAGACGAGAAGATGTGTCGTAATCTCTCGAACGCTGCCCAGCCGAGTTGAATCCGTCGATTGACCTCTCGGTCGAAGTTGGACTTACCTAGTCGGACTATTTGTCCCAGGTAAACATACTCGTCAAAAAGTTCGATATTAGTGCTCCCAACAACTACCGGCATAGGTGTAACATGAACGTTAAACATGATCTTAGTTTTGTCCATGTTCATCTTAAGACCTATCCGTTGGGAGACACTATTTAGGTCACTGATCACAGTGCTCAGGTCCTCTAGCGACTCTGCGATAAGGACTATATCGTCGGCAAAACGAAGGTGGTTGATCTACTCGCCATAGACGTTAATACCGTATCCTTTCCAGTCCAGTAGCTTGAAAATATCTTCCAATGTATCGGTGAAGAGTTTCGGGGATATAAAGTCACCTTGTCTTACACCTCTCTGCAGTTGGATAGGTTTCATATTGTGGTTCTGTACTCGAATAGCCGTGGTAGCCCTACTGTACAAACACTTCAACGCTTCGATATACCGTATAGTTATTATACGGTGTTCTGTATAATAATTATACGGTTCGTTCAAGTTATACAGTATATCGAAGAGTTGAATTGTTTCAAGTGTTCTAACCATAACTGCAACACAACTAGTTAGCGTTGAAACAAGAGGTTTGCCACCTTTTTTTTTGATGAAATATAGTATTTTTCGAAAAAAAGACATTTCGATAAATACAGTAATTTTGGGAAATTCAGGAATAAAGTACACATTTATTTTTAGTCTTTATGTATTTTTTCCATATATATTTGTTATTGCTCTTCGCTTTGGCCGTCAATGATCTCTTTACAATACTTATAGGAAAATTCTACCTTTAAAATAATTATAGGAATCTGAGCAATTTAGATTCATATTAAAAGAAATTAACAATTCATTTTTGATAAAATTAATACATACTCTATTTCTTTCTTCTTTCAATTTTACATTCATGACGGAAAAATCTTACTTGTTCTAGACTCCCAGTCACCTTAAATCGCGACAGTTGAATTAGGGATAAAACAATATAGTATTTTTCGTACTATATTATTTTCCTATAATATATAGACCACGGTGAGTTAACTGTGAAATGCCTTTTGTACGCCGATGATCAAGTCATACTTGCGTCGTCGGCAGCCGAGTTGCAAATGATGGTTACATTAATGAACAGGACATTAAAAGAAAAGGGAATGAAAGTTATGGTTTTTGAAAGAGAAGAAAGTAAAACGATATGTGAAATAAGAATAGAAGGTGAGTTGGTAGAGCAAGTAGATGAGTTTGTGTATTTGGGATGTGTGTTTAGCAGGGATGGTAGATATGATAAGGATATAGAACGACGAGTGAATGCAGGAAATAGAGTGAATGGGGCTCTACACCCTATTGTGAAAAGTCAGAATGTGTCCAAAAAGGCACGTATGGCAATTCACAATGCTGTGTTAGTACCTACTTTAATGTATGGTAGTGAAAGTTGGGTGTGGCAGAAGAAGCACGAGAGTAGAATAAATGCTGTAGAAATGCGGTCATTAAGGAATATTTTAGGGATGAATCTGAATGACAGATTGAGAAATTGTTTAATGAGAGAAGAGTGTGGTTTGCAAGATGATGTTGTGACCAGGATTAAGAAAGGAATGCTTCGGTGGTTTGATCATGTAGAAAGAATGAATGAGGAAAGAGTGACAAAGCAAATTTATGTTGCAGAGGTGAAGGGCAGAGTCGGGAAGGGTCGCCCTAGGCGAAAGTTTATCGACCAAATTGGCGATATATTGAAAATAGGCCAAATCAAGAGTACCTTTAACCGACGAGCGTGTATGCGTAGGTATATGGATGTGGAGAAAGCGAGAGAGGTGTGTCAGGATCGTGCCAAATGGAAGTCCATAGTCTCTGGGTGACAGGCGTGAGTGTTTATGTATGTATTATGTATATAGAACAATTGTCTGAAATATAGTACGATAAAGTATATAACGGGTGGCAACCCTAATTGTCCAGTGTAGTGTAGTAGTTAATATAAAAATGATTTATAGATTTTTTTCAGCGCAATGAAATCACTGAAAGCGACAGAGACGGCTGTTACTATAAAAGCTCCTTGGGGAAACTTAACTGGTAATTATTTATTTTTGCACTGACATAATATAAATATATGTTAAATGATAAGTATATGAGAATACGGAATATTCCGCGGGCTTCCTGGTCGAATAACCGAATATAGGCTTGGGCAAAAATATCGATATATCGATTTTTTAAATAAGAATATCGATATATATCGTCGATATTTCAAATCGCGATATATCGATATTTATTTTAGAGTATCGAATTCGAATCATTTCCAAATATTTTAAAATGTTGTATTAATGATATTATGACAAAACATGTAACAACAAAAGGAAGCCCATGTGTGGTTGGTTGTCTTTTTTTTTCGTCATCCAACCGTCAGTAATATAATATTTTGTCTTTACCTTATCTTTACATCATGAAAATGATCACGATATATCGATATTTATCACGCGATATATATCGGTACTATTTAAAAATATCGATTTGATATATATCGATATATTTTTCCCTTGGCATAAGTATTCGGCTGGGGAGGAAGTTGTGTTTATTCTTAGTCTTTCTGCACCGTTATCTTCCACTTTAATTACGATAATTCGAGTGCATAGACATTTATCTGATAGTTCTTTTGTAATTTTTAAAATATGGAAGTGGATTGTGTGCCAATGAGTACTATGATAACAAGAAAAAAATATTTTACCAATTATCTGACTACAATAAAACCTCTTACTTAATCGGTATTCGGCCGAATAGTACAATAGATATTCGTTATTCGACCGAATATGATAAAAGTAGCCGAATTCTGTCTATTCCGAATAATAGCTGAATATTCGTTGTGTCCCCCTTGAGGACTAACATTGATCGGCTTTTTGCTCGAAAAAAGCAAACAGCATTAAGCTGCCATTTCACGCTAGTATTCCCTGAGCGTGATCCTTCCTCGGTCGAGCTAAACTATTCGAGATGCAGCCATAATTCAGCTCCAGCTTAGGCCTACTATGTTAAAAATTACTCTCTTTTTGTTGCAGCATTAACATGGGGCGAACCTACCAGTCCGCCGGTCTTACTATGTCCAGGGAGGATGGAACCGTGCACTGCATTCAGGCCCCTTGTGCTCTCTCTACCGGCTAAATTCTTCTACGTAGCTATAGACCTACCTGGAAATGGATGGTCGGACCCTCTGCCACTTGGAGTTCGTTTCACTGTTCTAGATTTAGTGCCTTCAGTGCTGACAGTAGTTGAACATTTTAAGTGGGAAAAGTTCGTGTATATTGGACATTCTTTGGGTGCTGCTGTAGGTATGAACCTCTGTAATTTTTTCAAGTTTCTAAAACCTCAAAGTTTCTAAACTACAGTTCTAAAACCTCAGATCACTGAAGCTGATATGAGGTTTTAGAACTTTTATTTTTCTAAGAGAAGTTGAATATCTACTGGGTCTGACAATACTATTATTAGATTAGATATTGTAATATTAGTATGATTCAAGACCTCATATATTTCCAATAAAAAGCAATATCATATCGTTTTGCGTTATTTTTCTCATGTTTTACACAACTAATTAATTATTGTAGAGCCCCCCATTTGCGTAGGACAGCATTAAAGTGTACGAGTGTGTGCGCAAGCATAGGTGCTCTCTATTCCCTCACTCTCATAGTCTGTTGGGTTCTTAGGACGAACCAATAATCTGCCACGACCGGAGAAAGATCATGCACAGGACCAATGCCTTTAAATGCTTTCCGAGGCAGTACGAGTGTGTGTGCAAATACAGGAGCACTGTCAATTCCTTCACTTTCATAATCCGATGGAACGGCAATCCGATATGACCGGTGCGAATTCACGCATAGGACTATTGCATTCATGTACTTTTCGAGGCACTCGGTAAAACACCAGCAATGTTTTTTTTATAGAAGAGGGGGCAAACGAGCATACGGTTCACCTCAAGGTAAGTGACTACCGTCGGCCATGAACAACCGCAACACCAGGGGAATTGCAGATGCGTTGCCGGCCTTTTAAAAAGGTGTAAGCTTTTTTCTTGAAGGTCCCTAAGTCGTATCGGTCCAGAAAAATAGCCGGTGGTAAACAATTCCACAGAGAAGTTGACCGAGGAAGAAAACTTCTAGTAAAACACACAGTCGTGGACCGCCAAGCATCCAGATGAAGAGGATGGTGTCGTGAATTCTGACGCGATGTGCTTTCGTGAAATTTGGTGGCTGGAATTAATCCGAACAATTCCTCAGAGCACTCCCCGTGGTAGATGCGAAAGAAAATGCAAAGGACTCGGTCGTCGATGATTCGAGCCGCTCTGCGCTGGATGCGGTCAAGTGGAAGGAGCTGGCACTGGGGTGCCCCAGCCCAGAGATGAGAACAGTATTTCATGTGAGGCCGAACTTGCGCTTTGTAAAGTTGCAAGCGATGTGCCAGCATGAAATACTGTCTCGCTCTGCTGAGCACGCCAAGCTTTGTAGAGACCAATTTGGCCTTCCCTTCCAAGTGACCACGAAACTGCACACTATTCGATATGTCGACGCCGAGGATTCCTATGCTAGCTGAGGCAGCAAGAGGAGTGCCTTGAAACTGAGGAGATACGACAAAGGGGTTCTTTTTAGCAGTTAACGCGCAAACTTGTGTCTTCTAGGGATTGAACTGGACTAGATTTAGTCGCCCCCAATACGAGACTTTGTTCAGCAAAGACTCTACTTCAAACACAAGTTTATCCCGTTACTTGGCGATGATTTCCCGAGAAACATTGGCACAGCCGGTGTATAAGGTATCGCCAGTGCTGTCGTCTGCATAGCAATGAATGTTACCAGCTTTGCATATAATTGATATACAAAAGAAATAGCGTTGGTGATAGTACACAGCCTTGTAACCAGCGTAAGTAGGCTTGTAATCAGAGCATGCACCGTCTACTACGACCTTGATGCTCCGATCTGCAAGAAAGCTGGTGATCCAATTGCATAATTTCTCGGGAAGCCCATAAGAAGGGAGCTTCGAAAGAAGCGCTTTGTGCCAGACCCGATCGAAGGCCTTCGCTATTTCCAAAGTAACGGCCAATGCCTCCCCTTTGGACTCTACTACCTCCGCCCTCTGAGTCAGGTAGACCAGATGATCACCAGCTGATCAACCCCGACGGAAACCGTATTGGAGGTCATTAATCAGCTGGCGATCCTCAAGGTACCTCATGAGCTGATAGTTTATAATAGACTCCATTGTTTTGGAGAACAAGGAGGTGATGGCGATAGGCCTGTAGTTGGACAGGTCTGAGCGGTCGCCTTTTTTAGGGATCGGGTGTACCTGGATTTTTACATGGTAGAGTCATGCTGCAGCTATATTAGAAGTAGGTATAGTTGTAGCACGATTGGGTCGACTCAACCGGGAAAGGACCACGCTCTCACAGAATCATGGCTCGCATAACGGTATATTTTTCGAAACGTTTTCGCCTTAAATACCAAAAAACTTATTTGTTTCGTTGATGTTCGAACGGAATCATAATAAAAACGTTCATGAAGAGAATGAAATTTTAAAGCGTTCTTATTCAATAAAACATTTTTAACCATTTTAAACAGTGTTTCCCATTTTTTCGTCCTGCAATATGAAACAAAAAGGTATAAACTTGTCGTGGCACGCGCCATTCATTTAGCTTCATGCGGAATAAACAGTTTTTTACGTTTTCACATTACGTTCTCATTTCGTTTTTGTTCCGAACAAAATGTTATTAAAAGAACCGTACCAAACGTTTTAAAACGTTATTTTCAATAACGTTTCCGAGCCCTGCACAGAATACCATTGTAAAATAACGGCTTAACGCTGCTGTATTTCGTATGGTGGGCGTAGAGAACCGGAGACCCTTTTTACTGGAAACGAGGCATTACATCTTAGTTCTCATGGGTGACGCATCTGCATTCTGATTCGTAATCGAGAATAGATGTAGATGTCTATGGGCCGCAGCAACCACTTACCATCAGGTGGTCTGTGTGCTCGTTTGTCACCCTTATCCTATAAAAAAAACCCAAAGCTGGTTCGCGACTACGCCTTGAGAGTTGAAGTACCGGAAAAGACGCGTTAAAACCGGTGCTAATTCCGGAGCACACGTCTTCAACACAATGGGTGGGACTCCATCAGGCCCACTCGACTTGCTGACTTTCATCGAGAAGAGTAATTTGCGAACCGAGCGCTGTGTAAACTGCACATCCAGCATGGAACACTCATACCCCGGGATGGTCGTACTCCTGCTTATAGCGTGACGCCGTTTTACAGGAGCGACCAAACCATGGCTGGGATCTGCCTCCGATGACCACCATGGCACCACAGGGGATGGAATAAAAGATTCGATACCCTAAAGTACCACCTCTGCAACAGAATCAGCACAACGCTGGGATCTTCCGGCGTGAAGCAAACCCGCACCCAAGGGTAGGATGCAAAAAAACTGCATCCTATCCCAATCGGCCGACCTATAGTGCCAAACACGGGGGCAGCCTGCAGAATGTAACCGCGACGTTAGTGTGAGTGGCACAACACTCCAGACAAGACAATGGTCCGACGAGCCTAAAGGAGCGTCGACGGAAACTTGATATCCGTCCGGATGAGAGGTCAGCAGACGTTTCAACAGGCAAGGTGCATGATCCTCCACGTCTGGAATCCGCGTAGGCGAAGTAACTAACCAACTGTGTATTACCATATGCCAAAGCAAAGTCATAAACAGATCTCCCTGCGTGATCAGTTGATGTAGTACTGAATCTTGGCTGCCACTGAGAATTGACAGAAAAACTCGCTAATTTATTTTAGCCCACTCCGGGACCACTAGACAACGGTTAAAAAGGCGGTTAATAATATACATTGCTCTACCATGTAACCGCGTCTTAAGCTTGTCATCATTTATATTTCCAGGAAAATTTTTCAACATTGCCTATCCTGGAAGGGTGACAAGATTTGTCGAGTTGGATCCAGTACCCGCTTACTTCAATAGCAAAACGATCGGTTTGAAGGAATGGTACCACATGTACTACGGCAATTATTATAAGAAGGACAACTATATAAAACATAATGCTGGAACGGAGACTGCGCCTAGATATAGTTACGAAAAGGTTTGTGTAGTGGACTGTATTGTTAGGGTGATTACTGCTAGGGACGTTATCAAAGAAAAGGTGGTACACGTTACAATAATATATTAAAGTATTTACAAGATACGGCAATTATGATTATTATTATTTACACAAGAGGGGATCTTCTATGGGAGTCTTGATTGTTTGTCTTGAGTCTTCTTTCTTGAGTGTATTCTGTGTCGCTTTCGAATCGAATGCCGGAGGAGGACAAAAGCCTCTTCTTTAATTCCCGCGGCGGGTATTCTATCTTGATTGTGTTCTCTCGCGGTGTTGCTGTGCGCTCTTTGGTTGCCTACCTCACGTGATGTCCGGGCGGTGTGCGGGATGCACGGGGCGTAACGGAGTATGAGGGGGCGACGGGGCGGCAGGTAACAGTTTGTCTTTAAAAAATATTCTATACTGTCCAATGCTCTGCTGTGGTCTTGTAACCGTTCTACCTACAGCCAACTCGCCAAAAGCCAGGTCAAAATTTAAACATTACCTAGTAGTAGTATACAAAGTGACGATGAAGTTATCACGTTAAATGAAAAGACGTATTCTATACAAAGTTCTTTAAACATACACAACTAAAAAAATATATAACAATTAACATTCTGGGCGCGGTAGCCTTTTTTTTGTTTTAATATTAAACAACATCATGTAAATGCATCAGATATTACCTGATAAATACTAGAAGTTCAAAGACCCATGGCCCGTGAAGGCCAAGAGACCTATATTGTATTATAGTGCAACGTTGCCAATTTTAAATAATCAAATAAAGTAATAAATTAAGCAAAAAATGTACTTATATGTAACAAAATAAGGCATAATTCTTATGCGCGATGCGACAAGAATTGGGACGGGGTGTTGGGAGGGTGGGATGTGGTCGATTGGCGCGTGCGACGATAAAGTAAGACAGTAAGTCACTTAGTCCGACGCCTGCGTCCTTGGGAACGGTTCATTAATCGCTTGACCTAATTTTAGTTTTTCGCGTACACGTCCTTTTAATTTAAAGTTTTTTTTTGTGGATATTTTCATAAGTTTCTTGATTTGTTTGTGATAGGACACGTTAATACTATAATAATAATTGTGTTGAGGAGGTGGTGTGACTATTTGTGCGAAAGAGCAATGGCAGACTTTCATACATAAAATTAGTTGAGAAGAAATGGTAGCGTCTATATACCAAAAATATCTTAAAATGATAAGCGTCAGTCCCTTAATAACTCTGTCAAAGAATTTTGTACTGAGAAGGCGTCGAAAAAAAGATATTTACGTTTGAACCTTTTTAGGTTATATTCTATGTCACTTGGAAAAAGTCATTCTGCCTGTGGTTGTTTGATGTTAGCTTAATACATAATACATAATTGAGAGTTTTTAGATTATTGTATCTCTATTATATATTTGCATACTATAAATGTATATTTCTGGCATGGCTCCAGGGCTTTTGTACCATAGTGACATTCTCAGAAGGGCTAGAACCCAAAGCCGCAAAGCCAGAAAAAAAACAGTAACATTTTATTTTAGCTAGTGTTGGCATAACATTAAATGGAATTGTTACATAGTACTATGATTGAGATAATGTATTATTGTAGGAAATTCTTTGTAAGAAACTTATTCTCAGCCATATCACTTTTATTTTTGTTATTACTGATAGTACAGTTATTACTAATAATAACTCAATATAAAAATATTTTGTGTGTTGTGTTGGTAGTATTACAAAGTGTATACGAAAATAGTATGAATACACTAAATGGCAACATTTGAATAGAGTAAAATGATATAAGTCATTTGATTATCCCAAAAATGTTTGTTTTTTTCTGTGGCTTTAATTAAAATACATTTTTATTTGAAAAATCATAGAAAAATAATAAAACTCATTTTATATATAACTTATTTCTAGACGCTATAATTTTTGTCAACTATTTTTCTGCCATTGCTCTTTGACGCTTTCTTTTAGGCCCGCTCTATACATACGGAATTCCGTTTCGAGATTCCGTTTCGGAATTTCGAACGGTCGGCCACACACAAACGGAATCCCGTTTTGCCCGCAAAATATCGAACGGAAAACTACCGTACGTGTGTGGCGGGTCATAGATTTTATATGGACTTGCTGCGTTCGGGATTCCGAATCGGAATATCGAAACGGAATCTCGAAACGGAATTCCGTATGTATGTGGCCGGCCTTACTGTCTTGTATTTTTTATTTGTGATAGGACTCGTTAATAATAGATAAGTGATATTTAATAACTTAGTGGTGTGTCAGCCCGTGCGCAATTGGACGCTTTTATTTTTTTAAACGTATAACTTTTTTTATTTGAAAATGCCTCGTATCAATTTTACGTCATTGGAATACACCGATATGGTTTTAACTGAGATGTTCGGAGAGAACTGGATTGGCAGATACGGACCTTCTCGGTGGCCAGCACGGTCTCCGGATCTAACACCGTTAGATTTCTTTTTATGGGGTTACATAAAAAATGAGGTGTACTCTACTGAAGTAACGACTGTCGAGGACTTAAAAATAAGAATAATGCGGGCTTTCGACAAAATAAAAAATTTTGCAGCCAATGGTGCCCTCTTTCGAAAAGTCCGAAATAATATCATGCGACGATGTCAATTATGCATTCGGGTACACGGCGGACATTTTGAAAATTTAAAAATTTGATTTGTTTCATAAACTTGAGTGATTTCAAGGTTAAAGTGATTATTTGGATAAAAAAATACCATGAAATTTGTGATTAGTTGATAACATCGGATTAGCATCGCCCTACGCGTGCCTAATTACCTATGTATGGGCAAGTCCTAGGACCTAGGTATTATAATATAATTACCTATATCGATGTCGCATGAGCAATGAACCGCTGGCCGCGACGTTGCCGCTTCTACAAGTCATTTCAGGTCAGTTAAGTAATATTATCAAGGATGATTTATTTTATGTGATTTTTTACCCTATTTATTTTGTTTGAAAGATGCATTTTTTATTAGTTTTTATTATTGTTTATTTTATTATTTTAACAGACATATATCAACTTGTATTAACTGTTGTGCTATTTAACGTGATAACCTGGGCGCCACCCAGTATAAGATTTGACCTTTTCCAATGGTTACTAGGTATTCCATGTTAATACTCAGAGGTGACAACGTGTCTGCAATTAAAACTCTTCCTCCTCAATTAAGGGAATTATTTTTGCCATCAGATATTTGCTATAGTCGCTACGCTTGCCAGGCGGGTTGGCAAGCGCAGTTTTTGATGAAGATGCTACCGTTGATCTCTTGTTTCAGTTTCCCTTTGTCGCTCTTACAAATGCTATGAATAAAATTATTTTAAATAAATAATTTTATTCCTAGCATTATTGTTTTATATATTAAATATTAAACGAACTTCCAACTAAATAAGAATGAGGAAGGATAGAATTTCCACATTCTATCTCTTTGGCTTTCTTCATTCTCATCACATTTTTCCTTCACGCTCAACTGTTACTAACTAATTAGTTTGCAAATAAACTATGTTATGAATTAAGTGACGGCGCTGCCGTTGCGCCACAAACGAAACTCACGGATGCCTAAATCAAGCTAATAAAGTTCCGAAGTACTCCGGCAATTGCTCTATTCTACTACACACTGTGTGGTCTCCGTCTCCATCCTCATGTTAACAGCTCGAGCAAACTGTCGTTAAAACACAAACATCACGTTTACAAGACTTGTGTTAGACCTATCATATCTCAGGCAAGTGTAGCCTGCGCTGCCACGTATAGTACTCACCTATACGTGCAAATATTTTAAAATAACTTCATCCGCAAAGCCTCTGGAGCTTTGGTAGTAACAAAGAAATTCCAGTTTACACAAACTGTGAATTTCCTCTCCGAACTCATGCAATGTAGCCTTCGCTCCCACGTATAGTACTCACTTAAACGAGCTCCATACATTTTAAAATAACTTCATCCGCAAAGCCACTGGAGCTTTGGTAGTAACAACGAAATTCCAATTTACACAGACTGTGAATTTCCTCTCCGAATACTTCAAGGAACTGTGACTCAGCACTATTTTGATAGCGCCGAAACCTATCCTACCTATATACCGTTAGTGGCAAACGCAGCCAACTACATTCCAATCGGAAACGTTGCACCCGGTCTCCGTAAACCCCGTATCGTTCTTACCGAACCACCAATTTCACTTGATTCCGACAACCCAAAAGTCGCAGGTACGTCACACAACGACACTACACAATAAGTAGGTACATCCAATGTGTCAAACACTAATAGGGCAACGGACGGGACGCGATGCACACGTAGGCAGGCACGACGCAATCCCGCGCACTCCGTACCTAATGGAAAGTGTGGACCGCCACCCACAAACAACTACAACGCCAGCAGAATCGCTGGTGCGTTGCCGGCCTTTTAAAAATAAGTAAGTTCGTTTCTTGAAGGTCCCTAAGTCGTCTCGGTCCGGAAAAATTGCCCATGGCAAACGATTCCACAAAGAAGCGGTGCGAGGAAGAAAACTCAATTTTCATTCAATCTTTGTTATAGATTAAGCAGCTGGTACAAAACGTGCAATGTTTAACTGAGGAAGCTTTAAAACACCAATTAGAGAGAATGATCGAGCCAGCTGGAGACGGATTGTACAGGTATGAACCTATTAACTATCCGTTTAAAAGTTGTTGTATTGGGCCCGATACTGTTTTTAAAATGATTGTGTCTCAGCATGTTATGTTAGTGACACTTTACGTTTTCTTTATATAGAATAAGGGTGACAAACGAGCACACAGTCCACCTGATGATAAGTGGATGCTGTGCTTATAGATATCCACACTTATCTGAGAGTAAAAATTAAATTAAGTCAAATCATATTAAGAATCAAAATGCAGATGTGTTGTCATACCTAAGGACTAAGATAAGATGGAATGCCTCGTTTCCAGTAAAAAGGGTCTCTGGTTCTCAACACTCACCATACGAAACGTGAGACGAGACGTGAAACTGTGAGAGCGTGGTACTACACCGATTGAGCCGATCCATTGGTGCTACAATCCTTAATATAGCTGTAGCGTGGCTCTACCACACAGAAATAAATGTATATCTCGAAAACATAAAATGATGATATCGACTCCCTAATTTCATAATGAATGGCTGATTAAATATTCATTTAAAATCGATACTGTAGTTTCTTTTTAATAAATAAAAAATGAGTTTACATTTAGTTACTAAATATCATTGAGTTATATGTACTACGTACTAGAGAAGCCATTTCAAACAAAAACTGTGTCCTACTCTATGTTTTCGCGCATGCGCGGGAGTAGTAGTCGCGCATGCGCGAAGACTTTAATTTGATATAAAATAAGATATTAATATAACATAAATATAAAATATCTTAATTTCATCTAAACAAATATGTTATATTTCTAAATAAAATGTAATAAAAATTAATTATTTTATGCAATTCACAAATCTTCAATTTACGCAATATTTAGTTTGTACGGATTGCACTACAGTTCAGTTGAACATAGTCAATTTTCGGAATGGCTTCTCTAGTACGTAGTACATATAACTCAATGCTAAATTAATATGATTTGAATGTTAGGCGAGAGTCAGGCCGAATCAGAATCACAATGAACCCATTTTTAAAAGTATTACAATATAATAGTAAGTATTTAAAAGTAATAACGTTTCTTTTTTACGTTTGAAAAGAAGAAACGAACTTTTACTTATTTTCCAATAGTAGTATAATTACTGTTCGAGCAATTAAGACATTACATCTTATGGTTTAAGACATTTTCTCAAAAGATTTACAAATCACTTACAGAGAAAATACTTATTAATTAAAAACATTAAGCTGATTGGCATAGTGAGTTAGTATTATAATAGGTCGCTAAAACTTAATTACTGATTGAGTGCTTAATAATATGATTAGTAATAATTACCAGGAACAGTGTAGTATGAATAAATGTGGCGAGTTGTTTGTTAAAGCCCATGAAACATTAACTGTTTCATTGCGTTCATCTTTTAAAATTATTACTATATGTGTTATGTTAACATAATTAGTTTGTGTTTATTCATTTAGTATAATATATTATATTTAGGCGTTAATCATCTCAGTCTTCAGAGGTGATAATGCATCTGTTACCTTCTTTTTTCTTTGGTAATGGACTCTTACTGTTATACTTTTACCATTGTCAAAATAAATATAATATAAAATTTTCCTTTAAATTTGTTTCAAAACTTCTTCATAATATGTTGACGCGCCACATTGTGAAGTTTTGGGTGATTTTAACGGCAATTGAGCCAGTAGACTATCGATGACAATAGTATCTCAAGCCGCCTAAGCGGACACATTATCTTGAGGTCCACACCACCATCAGAGCACTTGTTTCATCGTTTCCACTAATAGTTTATATGCGCAAACATTTAATGTATGAAATAGCACCTCTTTTACAAATCAAAATTTACTTCAAACTATTACATAAATAATAATACAAGAGCAGCAATCAGCCGTCGATCAAGTTCCCGTCAAAACACTGTTGTCTTCTTCGTTTGTATTAATAGATTACAGTAGCCACGGTGGACTGTAAGTTTGTTTTGTAACTTGAGTTTTGAGAAAAAAAAATTACTTTCAGATTTACATACGACCAGCGCATGAAGAACGTCACTCTACTACCGTTTCCTGCCGACTTCCTTAAGAAAATATACACCGAATCTAAGACGCCAACATTCGCGATATTGGCCAGTAATGTAGTTCAATTGGGCGCATACAAAGACGTGGCTTTCCTCACCGACAAAACAGCTTGGCCAAATAAGAATTTCAAGTTTAAAATCGTCCCGGGTGGACATGACGTTCATTTGAATGACCCCGACTGTATGGCTGAAGATATATCAAAATTTCTGCTAGAAGATGTCAAATCGAAACTTTGACGACGGGAGAGTTGTTTGTTCTTGCATAAAGTAATTTTTGTAGTTGGTGTGGTTGTGGCATTTTGCAGAAAGTATTTATTATTGAGTGTTTTCATAATAAATTGTTAAATAAAGGGAATTTATTTTAAAAAAAGAACAACCAAACGTCAAATATCCCTATCTATACATCTATACAAATAAATTGAAGTGTCTGTTTGTAGTGTCAAAATTACAGCTTTTTATTAAATGTATACGAAAGTTTATATGGTACTAATAACAAAAATACAATTTTTAGTTTTTGTTTGTCTGTCTGTCTGTTTGTTCCGGCTAATTTCCGAAAAGACTGGACCGATTTTGGCGGAATTTTCACTGGCAGATAGCTGGTGTTACAAGGAGTAACTTGGGTTGGGCTACTTTATTTTAGAAAAAGAATTAGGGTTCCGCGCAAAAAAATTAAAACCCCAAATAACACGCGGGGAACAGCTAGTTTTGAATATTTTCGTTACATTTTGACGGGAACTTTATCGCTTGCGGATTGTTGTTCCTCTTTTATTGTTAATAATGTTTTATATTTAACCGATTCGTTGCGGCACCGATTTTCGACAACTTTTAGCTGTGGCGTCGAACAAATATTTCATGATACGCTGGGCGTGTCAAGCGCCACAGAAGTTGATGACACGCCTATTGTGCCTTCAGCCATGTGTAAAAATAATTTTCTTTTTTATGCTTTTTTCACTTGTTTAGACCTAGGTAATTAAGTTTAGTTGACATCAAACATCAGTTACAAACGGAAGGATACTTGTTTTTAGTGAGTAACTATGAGTTTTTCTACGTGTTTTCTCTGAAATTGAGAGTGACTTTTTTTATGCAGAGATTACAAACCTTTTGTACAATTTTTTGTTTTATAAAAAAATAATTTATATAAGTAGGTAGATACAGCTAAATCACCCGGAAAACCTTGGTTTTTATTAAATTAAATTTTCACCTAATAATAACATTTGTAAATATCAAACAATCAAGAACATTAATTTTGAAAAAAATAAGGTTTATGATATATATTTACAAAAAAAAAGGTAATAGGCAAATAAAAGTATTCCATGTGAGGCCGAACCTGCGTCTTGTAAAGTTGCAGGCGGTGTGCCGGCATGAAATACTATCCCGCTCTGCTGAGCACGCCAAGCTTTTTAGAAGCCAATTTGGCCTTCTCTTCCAAGTGACCACGAAACTGCACGTCACTCGATATAACGACTCCGAGGATTCCGACACTGGCTGAGGCAAGAAGGGGAATGCCTTGAAACTGAGGAGATACGACAAAGGGGTTCTTTTTAGCGGTAAACGCGCAAACTTGTGTCCTCTGAGGATTAAACTGGACTAGATTTAGTCGCCCCCAATCCATCCATACGTAGCACACCGGCTGTGTTGGACGAGCTAATTACCATTCTTGAATGGAGATACGTGCCGTCAATTTTGTACGTCGCTGATGTAGCCACAAAAGAAGACACATCACCATTGAGCTATACTGATGCGTGGTTTCAAGAGCCTGACTTTTTACGTTAACCTGAAAACGCTTGGCCTAATGGCTCGGCCACTATTCTCCTCGCACTGCTCATCGCTCTTAAGCTGCTAGTGCTACTTTAAGTTGGTATTCTGTGAGAGCGTGGTCTTTCGTGCGACCCATTCGTGCTACAAGCATATAGGTGCAACATGGCTCTACCACGTTTATTTATAGATTAGTAATTAAACCAAAAATCATTTCAAATTCATATTTTTGAAAGATGTCACTATTTTCTATTTAAATTATTACTCGTCCACTTTACAAGTCCACTGCTGAACATGGCCTCCCCCAAGGAATACTAAAAAGCACGGTCCTGAGCCACCTGCATCCATCGACTTCCTCCACATCTTATAAAGTCGTCACTCCCATCTAGTGAGGCGCCGCCCTACACTTCATCTACCGGATCACGCAGAGAAACTCCGAGCATAACCCTCTCCATAGCTTGCTGAGCAACCTTGAGCTTCCTTACAGCAGCGAAGAACCACGTCTCAGATCATCACTGCCAGCACCCACTGTTTGTATAATCTTGTTTTCAAGTTTTAAAGTATACCTAACGAGAAGATGTGTCGTAATCTCCCCGAACGCTGCTAGCCCAGTAAATTTCGATGATTGACCTCTCGGTCGAAGTTATACTTAGCTAATCGGACTATTGTTGTCCTAGGTAAACATACTCGTCGATAACTTCGAGCTTAGTGCTCCCAATATCTAACGGCTTAGGTGTGACATAGACATTAAACATGATCTTTGTTTTGTCCATGTTCATCTTAAGACCTATCCGTTGGGAAGCACTATTGAGGTCATTGAGCATAGTGCTTAGGTCCTCCAGCGATTCTGCTATAAGGACTATAACGTCGGCAAATCGAATGTGAGTGATGTACTAGCCATTAAGATTAATACTATATTTCCAGTCCAATAGCTTGAAAACATCATCCAGTCACCCATTCTTACACCTCTCTGCACTTGGTTGGTTGGGTTACATATTATTAGATACTATCAAAATGAAATAAGGAAAAAACTAAATAATAAAAGTAAGAATTTTCAAAGCATTTTTACAAACATAAAAAATTAATAGCAGGCTTCACATATCCTCGATATAATTTATTCCTTAGAATGCAGGTTCCTTCTCGATGTTTTCTCCACCGCAGAGCACGTGGTAAATCGCCACTTAAATCGTGCTCGGGATGCTCACGTAATAAACGTAAATAACGGTAAACAAAACAATACTATAAATATTGTAAAGTCATTTATTTATACAATGAAATAAAAATACAATGAATCCCTGTAAACAAAACATTCCCATCATCAAATCACATAATAATTTAGACTGTGACAGCTAAAGGCACTTTATTTATTGTTTATGTTTTAATGAAAACCTTGGTTCCAAAAAGTGACACCATAATTATTATGCTACATTTATCACAGTAAATTAATATTTTACCCAAAACCTTAATATTATATAAAATATAATCCAGAAAAATATAAAAAAAATCTCTTTTGGATTTAAACATTGATACACGATGGTAAGCAACTTTTCTTTCTCTTTATATACATTATGATAAATCGCTACATAGTTCATATATGAAACAATTCACCTCTAAACGTCGATGGTTTTTTTTTCGAGAATTTAACTAAGAAAATAAAACAAGAACATTGCTATATTTCACTATACGCCTACAAGTCTTTATTACGACTATTTTTTAATAAAAATGAAATGAATTTTAGTTTCTTAGTCAGTTCATTTTGGTAAATGGATTCGCACTTTTGGTAGGGTTTTGGCTCTTGTAAAGTGCAGTGTATCGGCACCAGCAGCCAGCTTCCAACAAAAACTGCGGATGCGTTGTCACCTCTGAGACGTTAGATGTAATGTCTCATAGCCTGTAGTTATACTGACCCTTTATACCCTTTCGACCGGAATACATACCAGTGCATTTTTTTCGTGGTAGAGCCATGCTGCAGCTATATTAATAGTATAGTTGTAGCACGAATGGGTCGGCTCGACCGGGGAAGGACCACGCTCTCACAGAATACCAGCGTAAAATAGCAGCTTAATGCTGCAGTGTTTCGTATGGTGAGTGTAGAGAACCGGAGACCCATTTTACTGGAAAAGAGGCATTCAACTTAGTCCTCAAGGCTGACAACGCATCTGCATTTTAATTCACAAACGAGGATAGATGCAGATGTCTATGGGCCACAGCAACCACTTACCATCAGGTGGACTGTGTGCTCGTTTGTCACCCTAATTCTATAAAAAAAGCACTGTTACTTGGCGGCAGAAATAGGTAAAAGGGAGGTGCCTACCCAGATGAACTCTTCGACGGAAAAGTAGTCTTACCACCTAATAATACCATTTAATTATTCAGTTTCAACTTTTTACTTCTTGTACCTATAGCTTAGAAGTAATTTTGTGTTGCTTGTGAACAATTTTGTTCAGTATAACATGAGCCTCATCATAGTGCGGGTTGAAATACTGTTTCACTTTTGGCCACCAGGCTGCGATGTTGGGGAATTTGTGTTTAGGATCAAAACCTGCCATTCCTGAAAAAATGATTTTTTTTAAATTATAATCAGACTGCAAATATCATGAGATCTAGTAAAAATTATACTATTATATAATTTATGGACTATTATTACCTACAATATAATAATTTTCATGATTCTTTTATTACTGGCTATTAAGAGGCGTATTACAAAAAAAAAACACGAAATTACAAGGTTTCCTCGTTGAAATTGTATGTTTATCGTTCGTTGCTTGAAATAACAATTACTTGGTAAAAATAGTTCGTTTTCTCTCCTCAAATAAGCTCAGAGCGGATTTTAGATAACTTATTTATTTAATCAGTAATAATCATTCTCCCGATGCATGTTTAAGCAAAAACTCTCGAAGACATGATTTGGGAGCTCTAATTTGTAGATTATATTGAATATCGACCATCAAAAAAAAATATTTTTTATCTCCCAAATATGCTTTTCACGCTAGGAAAAAAAATCGACATAATTCAAAAAACGACCAAAAAAGCTTCGATACAAGCCTCTATATTTCCGAAGTTCTACATCATTTAGACGTAAAATTTATACCAAAATAATCATCAACATTTGCTTACTATACAATTATTTTTACTTTTTAAATCGTTACTATTATATTTTAATTAATTAAATAAAAGTACTATATATTTCACTGCGCCTGCCATCTGCGATCATTAACGCGCAAGCGCTTGCCGAGGGTGGACCTGCGTCAGTTGATTTCGGGCGCTGCATCGTTTCGATACTACCATAGTGTGCGTCGATTGCCTGCATGCTAGAGCATCGTCAACTACGACCGCAATTTTTGATCGATCGGCTTTTTATCTATTTTATATAGTTATAATTTAGATTACGTCTCTTCCATTAAACATGGTAGGGACAACGAGTCTTATCTTACAGTCCACCTGAAAGTAATTGGGTACTAAGACCCATGAACACCTGCAACCAAATTCTAATAAAGAGGGCTACTTATGCGTTATCATTTCTGAGGACTAAGATGGAATGTCTCACAGCCTATAATGATGATGATCAATGATTGATGAAGTGTCTATGGCGTACAGTATAGATTGATTCTTATTCAATGATTGATGAAGTGTCTATGGCGTACAGCATAGATTGATTCTTATTCAATGATTGATGAAGTGTCCTATGGCGTACAGCATAAATTGATTCTTATTCAATGATTGATGAAGTGTCTATGGCGTACAGCATAGATTGAGTCTTATTCAATGATTGATGAAGTACGCATGCGGCGTGAGTCCCACCGCATGCGGCGGGACTTACGCAACTTCAATACAGCTCGTATTGAAGAAGCGATCGAGCGGAACCAAGGCTCCAAAGTCTTTGCCAGATATCTGTCTGCCAGAAAGAACCAACTGTCAAAGCTGAAGACAGAATGTGGCAGCATCGTTTCCGGGGCACCTGAGATTTTGAGTGAGATTGAGAGGTTCTATGGGCAGCTGTACACGTCATCGTTGGAGCCACACGCAAGTGTAAGTAACGATCCAAGAGCGAGTCTTATCCGACATTATTCCGATGATATCCCGAACGTCAGTCTGAACGAGATTAGAATGGCTCTCCAGCACCTTAAAAACGGCAAGGCCCCAGGCGATGATAGAATTACAGCGGAGCTTCTGAAAGCGGGTGGAAAACCGGTACTTGAAGTCCTTCAGAAGCTCTTTAATTCCGTCTTCCATGGTGGCATTACACCGGAGGCGTGGAGAAGTGCGGTGGTCTTGTTCTTCAAGAAAGGCGACAACGCTCTTGAAGAACTACAGACCGATTTCCCTTCTGAGCCGTGTCTACGTGATTTTTTTTTGGAGAGTCATTACGAATCGTCTTGCGCGCAGACTTGACGACTTCCAGCCTCCCGAACAAGCCAGTTTACGAAAAGGCTTTAGCACCATAGACCACATACATACCCTTCGGCAAATTGTACAGAAGTCAGAGGAGTACAATTTGCCACTATGTCTGGCGTATGTGGACTATGAGAAAGCCTTTGATTCCGTCGAAATTTGGGCGGTGCTGCAGTCCCTTCAGCGGTGCCAAGTTGACTGTCGGTATATCGAAGTGCTGAAGTGCTTGTACAATAGGGCTACGATGGCTATCCGAGTACAGAACCAAAGTACGAAACCTATCCAATTGCAGAGAGGTGTAAGACAGGGTGACGTCATATCCCCGAAACTATTCACCGCTGCATTGGAAGACGTTTTCAAGCTTCTGGACTGGAAAGGATACGGTATCAACATCAATGGCGAGTACATCACTCACCTTCGATTTGCCGACGATATAGTCCTTATGGCAGAATCGCTGGAAGACGTAAGCACTATGCTCAATGACCTCAATAGTGCTTCCCAACGGATGTCTTAAGATAAACATGGACAAAACAAAGATCATGTTTAATGTCCATGTCACACCTATGCCGGTAGTTGTTGGGAGCACTAAGCTCGAAGTTGTTGACGAGTATGTTTACCTGGGACAAACAGTCCGACTAGGTAAGTCCAACTTCAACCGAGAGGTCAATCGACGGATTCAACTCGGTTGGGCAGCGTTCGGGAAATTACGGCACATCTTCTCGTCAGGTATACCTCAAAACTTGAAAACGAGACTGTACAACCAGTGCGTGTTACCAGTGATGACATACGGAACTGAGACGTGGTCCTTCACTGCTGCCCGGATGAGGAAGCTCAAGGTCGCTCAGCGAACTATGGAGAGGGCTATGCTCGGAGTTTCTCTGCGTGATAAACTCAGAAATGAGGATATCCGCAGTAGAACCAGAGTGACCGACATAGCCCAACGGATTAGTAAGCTGAAGTGGCAATGGGCCGGCCATATAGCTCGAAGAACCGACAACCGATGGGGGAAAAAAGGAAGTCGATGGATGCAGGTAGCTCAGGACCGTGCTTTGTGGCATTCCTTGGGGGAGGCCTATGTTCAACAGAGGACTTGTGAAAGGCTATAATGATGATGAAATGATGATGATTGATGAAGTGTCTATGGCGTACAGCATAGATTGATTCTTATTCAATGATTGATGAAGTATCCATGGCGTACAGCATAGATTAATTCTTATTCAATGATTGATGAAGTGTCTATGGCGTACAGCATAGATTGATTCTTATTCAATGATTGATGAAGTGTCTATGGCGTACAGCATAGATTGATTCTTATTCAATGATTGATGAAGTGTCTATGGCGTACAGCATAGATTGATTCTTATTCAACGATGGATGAAGTGTCTATGGCGTACAGCATAGATTGATTCTTATTCAATGATTGATGAAGTGTCTATGGCGTACAGCATAGATTGATTCTTATTCAATGATTGATGAAGTGTCTATGGCGTACAGCATAGATTGATTCTTATTCAATGATTGATGAAGTGTCTATGGCGTACAGCATAGATTGATTCTTATTCAACGATGGATGAAGTGTCTATGGCGTACAGCATAGATTGATTCTTATTCAACGATGGATGAAGTGTCTATGGCGTACAGCATAAATTGATTCTTATTCAACGATGGATGAAGTGTCTATGGCGTACAGCATAGATTGATTCTTATTCAACGATGGATGAAGTGTCTATGGCGTACAGCATAAATTGATTCTTATTCAATGATGGTTGATGTGTCTATGGCGTACAGCATAGATTGATTCTTATTCAATTATTGATGAAGTGCCTATGGCGTACAGCATAGATTGATTCTTATTCAATGATTGATGAAGTGTCTATGGCGTACAGCATAGATTGATTCTTATTCAATGATTGATGAAGTGTCTATGGCGTACAGCATAGATTGATTCTTATTCAATGATTGATGAAGTGTCTATGGCGTACAGCATAGATTGATTCTTATTCAATGATTGATGAAGTGTCTATGGCGTACAGCATAGATTGATTCTTATTCCATGATTGATGAAGTGTCTATGGCGTACAGCATAGATTGATTCTTATTCAATGATTGATGAAGTGTCTATGGCGTACAGCATAGATTGATTCTTATTCAACGATTGATGAAGTGTCTATGGCGTACAGCATAGATTGATTCTTATTCAATGATTGATGAAGTGTCTATGGCGTACAGCATAGATTGATTCTTATTCAATGATTGATGAAGTGTCTATGGCGTACAGCATAGATTGATTCTTATTCAGTGATTGATGAAGTGTCTATGGCGTACAGCATAGATTGATTCTTATTCAATGATTGATGAAGTGCCTATGGCGTACAGCATAGATTGATTCTTATTCAATGATTGATGAGGTGTCTATGGCGTACAGCATAGATTGATTCTTATTCAATGATTGATGAAGTGCCTATGGCGTACAGCATAGATTGATTCTTATTCAATGATTGATGAGGTGTCTATGGCGTACAGCATAGATTGATTCTTATTCAACGATGGATGAAGTGTCTATGGCGTACAGCATAAATTGATTCTTATTCAATGATGGTTGATGTGTCTATGGCGTACAGCATAGATTGATTCTTATTCAATTATTGATGAAGTGCCTATGGCGTACAGCATAGATTGATTCTTATTCAATGATTGATGAAGTGTCTATGGCGTACAGCATAGATTGATTCTTATTCAATGATTGATGAAGTGTCTATGGCGTACAGCATAGATTGATTCTTATTCAATGATTGATGAAGTGTCTATGGCGTACAGCATAGATTGATTCTTATTCAATGATTGATGAAGTGTCTATGGCGTACAGCATAGATTGATTCTTATTCAACGATGGATGAAGTGTCTATGGCGTACAGCATAGATTGATTCTTAATCAATGATTGATGAAGTGTCTATGGCGTACAGCATAGATTGATTCTTAATCAATGATTGATGAAGTGTCTATGGCGTACAGCATAGATTGATTCTTATTCAATGATTGATGAAGTGCCTATGGCGTACAGCATAGATTGATTCTTATTCAATGATTGATGAAGTGCCTATGGCGTACAGCATAGATTGATTCTTATTCAATGATTGATGAAGTGTCTATGGTCTACAGCATCCACATACCATCAATTATACTATATACATATCGTAAACGCCATACTTGACAGGCGCATTGGATATCGTAGTATCAAACTCTTCACACATCTATTGACTATACTACTCTAGATTTTTTATAGGAGAGGGGGCAAACGAGCATGCGTTAAGTGACTACCGCCGCCCATGAACAACTGCAACACCAGGCGAACCAGGGGAATTGCAGTTGCGTTGCCGGCCTTTAATATAACTTTCAACTGACATAACCACGAGATGTTTACATCACCATCTATTGGTGACCATGAGATGATTCGAGCATTTCCCTAAGTCCACCCACACGACGGTCGACATGGGACGGATTGTCTTACGGTGCCACCACAAGATACATACGAGAAGAAAATTATGACGATATAATAATAAATGAACCTTACTAGGTTGCTCCAATTCACAAGCGGCCATCAAGTCAGCGACAGTTACGGAATTTCCAGCAATGAATTCAGTGTTTCTCCCCAGCCACTTAGTGTCAAGGAGTTCTAAGGCGGATAACATACGTTGCTCATAACCTTTTATTTGTTCTTCGCTTGGAGATCGACCGAATAGAATTGGATCCATATACTGAAAGTTTATTTTAATAATTATTAGTTTAAAACATGCATTCATTATTAATAATATAGTCATTTATTTCCGAACTTTGGGGTTGTACATTATTGTTTGAGTTCTTACTGTAGTACTAGTTAGAGTAAGCCTGTCAGTTCGGTGTGCCATTTAGCATAGGTCTCCTCCAACTGCTTCATTCATTCATTCATCAGCTTATTTAAAGTCCAATGCTGAATACATGCCTCCCCCACTAGTTGCCACGCCTGGCAGGCGAACAAATATGCATGTATATTGTAATATCTATACTTAAGCAAAACCCATGCATAATATAATAAGATTATATACCTTAACTCTGAAGAACATGGCACAATGTAGTCTAAGCCCGAGATGCTGCCATTCCAGATATTCTTGCACTAGCGCTCGTGACTTACTCTCAATTGGGTATAAGTTGTCTGGGATGATACCTTCTCGAGACAAGTAGTTTATTATGGCAACACTAAAAATATAAAATACACATTATTAAAAAAATACAAGACCTGCTTTTCTCTCTGCCCTCTTATCCATTTCGGACGACATGCATCCACAACTATGTTCAAGTTTGAAAGATATGCACAGACATTTTTCAAGGACATGTTATAATTTTTTTTATATCAAACTGAAGTTACAAATAAATCTACAGTCCACCTGGTGCTGAATGGCTACTGCATGGATACTTGCAACCAACTTCCAATAAAGAAAGCTACAGATGCGTTGTCGCCTCTGAAAATTAAGATTCTTTACAGCCTGTAGTAATACTGATACTGGCTCTTTTAACCTGCAAATCAGCCCCCTGAGTATGAGTTTTCTACTATATCGAACTAGTATTGCCATCAAGTGACTTTGTATGACAACACATAGTTCTATTTACGTCCACCAGGGGCGCTGTTTATATTTCCATATAGTACTAGTTGGTAACGATGCGAAAACGTTAGTGACACATGCAGTAGAAATATAAGTAGAGCTAGACGTGCTCTCTATATCCATCAGACTGGAACACAATTAATAGTAATCATGCTGGCACTAAAGCCATTAAAAGTAATAGATTACCACAGCTGCACATGGTCACTCCCATTGTAGATAAGATGTGTCAAAATAACATTCCTCTAGTCGGGCTACTTCCCATCCCCGGCTTGAGTATTTTATATCTTATGTATACATGCATATAAGACTGTTAATTATACCAAAAAATACTAACTATTACTAACATAGTTATACTGTCAGTATTTGGCACAGTATGACATTTTTGAAGGAAATTTCTCACATTTAACAATATAGTGTGAAGTGTGATAGATTCTTTCATGACACCACCACACTGATCTCTCTCGCTCTCTTGTAGAGCCTTGCTAACATAATATGTCCAAAAGTGCACTTGTAATGGTATGTAATGACAATAATAATAGTGATATTTTTTTATATTAATGTCATTATATTTTTTCTGTCTGTCTATTTAACAATTAGGTTTTAAAACAAAATTAATGAATGGAAATATAATTCTTTATTCAGAGAACAACTTAGTTCTAGTTTCGTAATAATATTGCAGTTACTTTTAAATTTACACAATTTTTAAGGTCACAGATAAAGACATAGTTCCCAAATCAATTATCAACATCATCATCATCATCATCATCATTATTACAGCCTATCAAAAGACCACTGCTGAACATAGACCACATTTGGCAGGCCTGTTGCCAAGTGTAGTTATTTTTTTTTATATATAGTAGATTAGCAAAAAGATGCAGGAAAATTACCACGGTCAGGGGGTGATTTTCGGTAGTGGACATTCTTACACTGCCAATACATGATATATTATTCTATATAAAATATAATATTGACCTTTCAGTAAGAACAAATCCATTGTGTTCAATCACTGGAACTTTTTGTAGTCTATTCACTTTAGAATATTCTTCTGAATAATGTTCACCTGGAAATATAAATTTTATATCAGGCACATAGTTTACTTTTGAAAATATCACATTACACGATAAAGCTTTTTTATTTAAGGTTATCTTTTTTAGCAGTGTTATAAAATATGATTAACAAGATAGTGAAGATAACAGAAGTAGAACAGGAATTTTTGAGACCATTGTTTCTTCTTGTTTCCTATTGTATGGTGGGTTTGCTGTATAACCACGCGTTTAACATTAAAATAATAGTTTGAAATAAATCTCTTTTCAACAGACTTAAAAAAGGAGGAGGTTTTCAATTCGACTGTATTTTTTATTTAGTTTTTATGTGTTTAGCCCATGAAGCTAATACAAAGGGGAGACGGCGTAAGCAACTGTGCACTGTGATTCTAAGTAGGTCCTGACATCATCATAGTGGGCGTGGCTTTAGTTAGTATACTGTCAGCATTCGTCCTGTGCGCTTATGTGTTGAAAAAATCGTATTTTCGTAGTATTAATAAGAAAAGGATGAAGTATTGTGTTTTATTGTGTAAAAACTACTCAGATAGACGCTCTGATGTTATGGATGGCATCACATTTCATTTGTAAATATTTTTACACCTAATTTATTAAAATAGTTTTAGAAAAATCTCTTTGTGTCAGCTTTCAAATATAATTAAACATATTCGACACTAGATGGCGACACTTTGTGTCATGTGAACTAAAAATATAAAGGTCCGTAGAGCTCAGTATTGGTAAAATAATCATATGAAGGTGCTGAAATTTGTTTTGCATTCAGACATAGAAATTTTAATCCCAAAATATTATTTTTATAGTTTATAATCATTATGTGAACAGGCCGTATTCGATCGTAAAGTAAACCTCATAAAGGTAACAAAAAGACAGTGCCGTAATTAGAATTCAATTATTTTATTCACTAATCCAACTTTCAATACTAAAATGAAGGAAATTGTACTTAACCTGATTTTTACGAAATGTTTAAGTTATATTTAAGTGACATTCTATATGCAAAGAATCACTTAAATAAAATTTAATGTTCTTAGATTGAATAAAATATTTATATTTTACTTGATTTGTAAATAAAATTATATTAATTATAATAATTTCTCTATTATTTGTTCTCTCTTAGAGATATTAAGTAGTATAACCCACACATAAATAATAGTCCAGCCGTTTCTGCATGAAAAAAATACACATACACAGTACATACTTAGTGTGGAATAAGCTCAAGGAGACAGAAAGAACACACAAAATTTCGCCTTTATAATATTAGTGAGATAAGTAGGATATTTAGTTCCAAATTAAATATCCTACTTAATATTGAACATAGAATATTTAGTTTCAAAGAGACTTTATTTTATGGATAAAATAAATATTTTTAGAAGGTTGACTTTCACGAAATGATAAACATATTTAAATTGTATTTAAGTGATTCTTTGCATATAGAATGTCACTTAAATATAACTTAAACATTTCGTAAAAATCAGCCAAGTACAATTTCCTTCATTTTAATATTGAATGTTGGGTTACTGGGTAAAATAATTGAATTCTAATTGCGGCCCTGTCTTTTTGTCATTTTTTATGAGGTTTACTTGACGATAGATGGCGGCCTGTTCCCAAAATTATTATGAAAACAATAAAAATATTATTTTGGCGATTAAAATTTCTTTGTCTGAATGTATTTGCTTCATGAGATAGACGCTCCGATGCTATGGATGGCATCACATTTCATTTGTAAGTAATTTTACACCTAATTTATTAAAATAGTTCTAGAAAAATCTCTTTGCGATGGCTTTCAAATATAATTAAATATATTCCACGCTAGATGGCGACACTTTGTGTCCTGTGAATTAAAAATATAAAGGTACGTAGAGCTCAGTAATGATTAAATAATCATACGAAGGTGCTGAAATTTGTTTTGCATTCATACATAAAGAAATTTTAATCGCCAAAATATTATTTTTTAGTTTATAACACTTTGTGGACATGCCACCATCTACCGTCAAGGTAGCTAAGTTACATTGCAACATCGATATGGAAAGATTCGAGTAGTTTTACTATTTATCGGTAGATGTAGATAGTGTAAAGTGGGCGGCGCTTTGCATCCCCTCACCCCGCAAATTGTCACGCGTTGTTACATAGTGAAATTTAATTACAACGTCTCCTCTTTGTATTTGCTTCATGGTTTAGCCATTAATGGATGGACGTAAGGATGATTTATGACCCCCCCCCCCCCCCCACCCACCACCTCCATGTAAGGGTACATAAGAGTTCGCGACTCCTCCCCACCCCCCACTTTTTACCTAAGATTGCATTTCGTTTTTTTCATTGAGTTATATGTACTACGTACTAGAGAAGCCACTCCGAACATTGATTATATTGAACCGTACTGCAATCCATACAAACTAAATATTGCGTAAATTGAATTTTTACATATTATTTAGAAATATGTTTGTTTATATTAAATTAAGATATTTTATATTTAATTCTTATATTTATTTTATATAAATATCTTATTTTATATCAAATTAAAGTCTTAGCGCATGCGCGGGAGTAGTAGTCGCAAGGTTAGTCTTGTCACAAGGTTTTGTCAAACTTGTTTAGTCGTTGAGAAAATGGAATTGAGTCGAGAAAATTCAAGAGCGATGATTTATTATGACTTTCGAAGTGGTTTAACACAAAAACAGTGTGTTCACCGGATGATTTCTGCATTTGGTGATGAAGCCCCATCCAAAACCACAATTTATCGCTGGTTTGCTGAATTTCAAAGTGGACGTGTCAAGCTCAGTGATGATCCCTGTCAAGGTCGTCCAAAAACTGCAGTCACCCAAGAAAACGTTGATGCTGTGCATAAGCTGATTGAGGAAAATCGACATGTGACATACCGCGAAATTCAGGCAACTTTAGACATTGGCATGAGTCAAATACAAATAATCTTGCTTGAACAATTAGATGTAAAAAAGTTGTTTTCCCGATGGATACCGCATTCGCTCTGTGAAGAGCAAAAAGCGGCTCGCGTTACTTGGTGCGTCAGAACTCTCGAAAGATTCCACGCAGGATCCTCATATGCTGTATACAACATCGTATCAGGTGACGAATCCTGGATATACGCGTACGAACCCGAAACAAAAATCCAGTCACGAGTTTGGGTGTTCTAAAATGAGTTAAAGCCAACAAAAATTGTTCGTTCACGGAGTGTTGCAAAAAAAATGGTGGCCACGTTTGTCTCCAAAACCGGCCATGTTACGACTATTCCTCTTGAGGGACAAAGAACGGTTAATGCAGAATGGTATGCTAGCATTTGTTTGCCATAGGTCGTTTCTGAACTCCGTAAAGAGAACTGCAACCGCCGCATCATCCTCCATCACGACAATGCGAGTTCTCACACCGCACACAGAACAAAAGAGTTTTTAGAGCAAGAAAACATAGAATTATTAGACCATCCGCCGTACAGCCCTGACCTAAGCCCTAATGATTTCTATACTTTCCCTAAAATAAAGAATAAATTGCGTGGACAGAGATTTTCATCACCTGAAGAAGCTTTGGACGCATACAAAACGGCCATTTTGGAGACCCCAACTTCCAAATGGAATGGTTGCTTCAATGATTGGTTCCATCGTATGGAAAAATGTGTCAAATTTCGCGGAGAATACTTCGAAAAGCAATAAATACATTTTTAAATAGTAATGTTGTGTCATTTCCTTGATTCCTGAAATTTTCAGTGCCGCCCTCGTAAAATAATATGCTATTGTGACCGGAATTATTATTGAATAAAAAAAAATATCATTCAATGCTATTGTTGCTTAAAAATTTAAGATTTTAAGATTTTAATACACAATAAAAATTTGTAAAATAAGATATAAATAGAAGTGTAAATTATAGAATAAAGAAAACCTTTCCACATCCGAAATGGAACTAGATTTCTTATACAAAATTTCGACTTTCAAAATATTACATAAGATTGGGTTTTACCCCAAGGGCATGTAGAGTTTTTGAGTTATGCTTAATAATGTGTATTTAATTGATTTCGACTACATTGATAATGTCCTTATTTTATTTATATTGAAGCCAGGTGTACAACACTTTTAATTTTACCACTTGTTTAATTGGAAGAAATAAGATTAATTACCAACAGAGATATTAGTTTATTTTAGACTTAATAGCGAAAATAGCCTTTCTACAAATAGCTTGAGATAGGAATACTAAAAATTGCTTATCTCTACATTAAAAAACGGTTTCTTCCAATTATCTATCCCCATTCCCCATAGATTTTTATTAACACATATGACCTACGGGCATTCAATAAAAAGTGAATGAGCATATTACAGGTAACTTATTTACTTCTTTCAATCTATGTTCCATCTTTTTACAAAACTATAATTTACTTGACATGACGTTATCCAGAGCATCCAAAAATGCCTATCCTGCAGCAACTACTGTGTCATCATTTCAAATCTCTATCTTCTAGATCAGTGATTCCCAACCAGTGGTCCAGTAGAGCTTAATTATGATCTACAAAAGATTTAAATATTTTACCTACCTAATAGTTTTAAATACCTAACACATTTATTTTCTCATCATGCGAGCCGTGCCACACAGCACGTCAAGTTAGTAAGTACCTACTAGCTTTTACAATAAATACACAAATAATACTGTTAATGTATACTTCTTTTCTGTTTATCAAATAATTATATTAAAAGTTGTGATTTTAATTTATTGTGTCAGATTAACAATTTTTTTTTCTTTCACCTTGTGGTCCCTGCTAACTACAAACTGTGGGCCCTGGTAAAAAAAGGTTGGGAAACCCTGCTCTAGATACTCCTTCAATCTCTGAAATATATAGCAGTCTAGATCAAAGGTATGGAAAATGCTCAAATATTTCAAAGCCAGCAACTCAAATTACAGCCATTACAATAAAGGACTTGTGACCCAGGGTTTTATCATGGAGAAACAAAACAATCTGAAATTGTGCAAAAATGCTATCATAGGGTGTTCCATAGGGGTCATATTTAGTGTTCTTCAACATTGAAATCCGGCACACCAACATGCAATACCGATAGTAGAATATGCCAAAGCATATACCCCTAATGTATCCTGTAATTCTTAATGGACTTATTCTATAGCGAAATATTTCAAGACCACCTGACAACCAATGGGAAAGGACGGTTCCTAAAATATAGCAATCTTATTCTGATTCTTTCTGATTGCATTCATATTTTACTGAATAGCAGTGTATTTGGGGAGTGGGTAATGAGACCACGCAGGAATGGAGGAAGGTAATGCTTTGTTTGTGTATATCATATCGGGCAGTGGGTTATAATAATGACGAGATACATAATGCATAGACATAGTATCCTCTTAGTAAGTGTTGATACATGTTGCAATGTGTGTGTGCGTATACTTAAATAAGTACAATAGAGCATGATTTCAGCATCAAGCATTTCAACTATTTTGTATATAAGATTAAGATATATTATAATTGTACTACTACCTTTTCGTAAATCCACATATTTTGATTCAAACTTGCATTCAACAGACTTCAATAAAATGTACAGAGCTCTGGATGGTTGAGACATTAAATCGTAATACAACTTTAGGGACATCACTTTAGCATATCATCTATCCACGATCTATTAGTTATAATTTTAATTAGGTTATCTATAAATTTTAAATTGTATGACATAAAAATTATACACAAACACAAAGTAAAGTATAATATATAGTCTGTAGGCATGAGGCCGAAATATCAAATAGGGACATTCCGATACTAGTAAATACGAGTAGGCACTCGATACTTGTGATTCGATACCAAGTACAAATAGCATCGAACCAATCTTGCGTTACTTACTCGGTATCGAAACAAAAGTACTTGGTATCGAATCCGGCGAGCCGAACCCGTCCGACTTCACCCGAGCACCGAGACAGAGAGCTGCAATTAGCTATTACACTAAAAGTGTCACTGATCCAGTCCATTTTACGAATTATTTAAGTTATTGTAGACATCGGTTTATTATTCCCATGTTATCATGGCACCACCAAAATCAATAATATGGACATATTTCACCAAAACAAACGAAACAACTGCGAAATCTAAACAATGTTTTAAGTCGGTAAAGTATTGTGGCAATACGTTTAATTTATTCAAGCATTCCAAAATTCATGGAATTACTGTGGTTAAAAGCAAATTACAGAATAAAATGCAGATAAAGGGACAAACGAAAGGTAGGATCTAGCACTTCTTACTAGTTTGTGGGTAGGATCTGCAACTTTTCACTAATTATTTTCGTTAGGTTAGCTACTTAGGTTAGGTTCATAATAGTTCGTTAGTTCTGTAGTATCATCATCATCATCATCATTACAGCCCTTCACAAGTCCACTGCTGAACATAGGCCTCCCCCAAAGAATGCCACAAAGCACGGTCCTGAGCCACCTGCATCCATCGACTTCCTGCATGCCTTACCAGGTCGCCACTCCATCTCGTGGGGGGTCGTCCTACACTTCGCCTACCGGTACGAGACGGTAGTTCTGTAGTATGTTGTTGTCTAATAGATGTTATCTAAAGTGGCAGGGCAGAATAGATCATTGTGGGGCTTGATACATTTACTACGTTAATTTCATTAAAAAAAATCTAAAACTATCGATATCAGTAAGTATCGATACATTAGGAGTATTTATATGAGTAGTATCGAAAAATGATTTAAGTACTACTAATATGAGTAGGTATCGATACTTTTATGGAATCGGTACATCCCTAATATCAAAACGTACTACTAATAAAACTAATAACGTTATGTTATCAAATATCATATCATATCGATAAACCTAAGTACATAATAGTTATCACATATCCAACCAAAACCAACTAACAAACGTACGAAACGTAAAAGTTCGAACCAACGAAAGATATGTTTAATTTTAATTTACAAAATATAGCCTTTATATGTGTATTTTGACTTTTCTTAGTTTAATACAATGGTTAATAAAGTTGGCAGTATTTAGGCATTTATCATTACAGATTTTGACAGGATTTGGCATGTTTTTAACTAAAGTATGGCAGGATCTGTATTTTAAAGATGGTCACACTGATGTGGATTGACATCAGCGTGACCAGATTTAGTAGATTTCTACTTTTTTGGTAGATTTTGAGGTACTGGCAACAGAATTTAGTATGTAAAATTTATTTGGCATATTTTAGTAGAATTCACGCTTTTCAGTTATTGTAGTACTTTTTGGCATATCGGATAAATGCGGGGTATTCCGCCTTTCATCGAATGGATTGTAACTATTTCATTTTCATTCTTTTCGTTACCATTCGTGCCATGAGCATAGAGTGTGATAGACTAGTGGGGATTCCTTTATTGAGAATTTTTATAATCGAGTTTAAAATGAAACCTAAATATACACAAGGATATCGCGATTAATGGGAGCAAGATCCCTCATTTAAAAGTTGTTTATGTAAATCTAAGGTAAACACTACGAGTGCTCGTTGTAAAGCATGCAACTGTGAAGTACTAAGTAGAGTGGCTTCTTTGAAGGAACACATGGTTACATCAAAGCATATAAAAAATATGAAAGGATATTCCGGCATTTCTCAGGTATGCAAGTTACTTACGTTAATATATGGAATGTAATTCTTAGTTAATTATTCTTGTTAAGACTTTTTTTAATACTTTCAACTTACGCAGTAGTGTGAACCCGTATTATGTTCTAAAGTTTATGAATTTGATTTCCACTCAAAAGCAAACATTCGTTGTTTTATGTACGTTTATTACCTACGCATTTACATAACAATTACTATACAACTATGTGTGTTTATTCATGTTAAATGTTATTTAAAAATTGCTACGTTTTTATACTATATAGCGCTATATGAAATGTCCTGAATACTTATTTTTAAGTTCTTTGGTTACAGATTGATACGATTTTCAAAACATCAACCATTTCGGAAGGAGTAAAAAAAGCAGAAATCAGCATTGTAGCTGCCTTAGTTGAACATAATATTCCTTTTCGCGTAATGGATCATGTAAGCGAAGTTATTTCAAGGGCATTTCACGACTCCGAAATAGCAAAACATTTTTCCTGTAGAAGAACTAAATTTGCCGCAATTGCCTACAACATCTTAGGCAACAACTTCGAAGAAAAAATGCTTGCAGAATTACGTCCAAAACTGGAAAATGAAACTGAGAGAAACCCAGTATTTTCGCTCATTATCGACAAGAGCCATATGTCAGTACTGCCAAGGTAATTGCAGGAGCAATAAAGTACTACTCCGAAAAAATGAAATCTCCACAAACAAAATTTTTGTGTATGGTGGACTTAAAAGGTGATACTGCGCAGGATTTGTTGACAGTTTAACATGCGCCTTATCTGAAAGAAACATTAACAAAGCCAATTTAATAGGATTCGCTGCTGATACAACGAATGTTATGTTCGGCGAAAGGAATAGCGTGGTATCTAAAATTAGGGAAGTCAACCCAAACTGCATTTTTTTCAACTGTATTTGCCACTCAACAAACCTTTCAGTGAGTTATGCATCCAAAAAATTACCTCGTTCTATAGAGTTATTTGTCAAAGATGTTTTTTCATACTTCTCTCACAGTAGCCAACGACAAAGAGAGTTTGCCGAATTTCAAAATTTTACTGACACTCCAACTCACCATATGCTTCGTCATTATGATATCAGGTGGCTTTCTCTACATCAATGCATTCACCGAATTATAGAGCAACGGTCAGCATTAAAACTTTTTTTTTTCAATATGAGTTTTTAGGGAATATGAATGCAAATGCTTTTTGTCAATTTATATTTGATCACCTTACCAGCGATGAAACAAAACTTTATCTTTACTTTTTAGATTTTATATTACCCATAACTACAAAATTTAACGTTATTTTTCAATGTGATCAGACACTTATTCATAAAATTGAAACAGACATACAAAACATGATGAGTTCCATTTTGAGTTGCTTTATGAAGATAAATTATATAAAAAGTACTCCGCTTCAGTCAATAGATCCAAGTTCAAGAATGCATTTCCTTCCTATACAAAACATGTACCTGGGCACAAACGTAGCAATGACATTGGATGATTGGAATCATTAAAAGATGATGTTCGAATGAGATCCAAAATTGAAGAATTCCTTAACAGATGTCAATCATTTTTGATCGAGTTGAGTAACCAATTTCTGCAAAGACTGCCTGTACAAGATAATTTTTTGCAGGATTTGTCGTTCATCGATCACCAAAAAGCAGTGTATGGTGAATTTCGAACTCTGATAAGAATACTCCGAAGGTTTCCTAACTTAGTTGCAACAGAAAACATGCAAATTCTTGACAATGAATATAGGGAATTAAAATTAGATCTTTCCATGACTAATTTATTGTCAACTTCTAGTTCGACGTCTGAAACTTTTATGTTGGATACATTTTGGAGTGAAGTCAGCCAAATCTGTGATGCGAATAACAAACCAAAGTATGGCAATTTGTCCCGATTTGTGAAGCAAATGACGATACTACCTTTGTCAAATGCCAAAGTGGAAAGAATATTTTCCGATATTAATAGGATTAAAAATCAAGATCGAAATCGATTTAATAATAAGAATGTTGCTGCAATAATGCATGGAAAAGAGGGGCTACGACAGTTGGAAGGAGGATGTGGCAGATTTGATCCTGACAGAAGTATGATTAAATTAATGGACTCAAAACAACTTTATGATAATGATACCCAACATAAAGACGAAGAATCTTAACTTTAAGTTTCATTTTTTGTATTATTTTTTTATATAGAATTTAATTTCAAAAAAATATTGGTTTATTTAATAAGTGGTGGTTTCTTTGTTATTTTTATTATTTTATCGTTTAATCAAGAAAATACATAGGCTGCACTAAAAGTATCGGGAATGGAATATTTCCACTGTTCCTGTCATATTAAAATCTTTTTAATTGAAAAGTCCTTGGTTTTTTTAAAAATTGAATACCATTTATTTAAAAAAAGATTCTCGGTCTTGTCACAAGGTTTTGTCAAACTTGTTTAGTCGTTGAGAAAATGGAATTGACTCGAGAAAATTCAAGAGCGATGATTTATTATGACTTTCGAAGTGTAAACCACTAATGCAGAATGGTATGCTAGCATTTGTTTGCCGCCACATCATCCTCCATCACATCAATGCGAGTTCTCACACCGCACATAGAAAAAAAGAGTTTTTAGAGCAAGAAAACATAGAATTATTAGACCATCCGCCGTACAGTCCCGACCTAAGCCCTAATGATTTCAATACTCTCCCTAAAATAAAGAATAAATTGCGTGGACAGAGATTTTCATCACATGAAAAAGCTGTGGACGTCTAGAAAACGGCCATTTTGGAGACCCCAACTTCCGAATGGAATGGTTGCTTCAATGATTGGTTCCATCGTATGTAAAAATGTGTCAAATTCGCGGAGAATACTTCGAAAAGCAATAAATACATTTTTAAATAATAATAATAGTTTATTTTCACCACTTAGGTAACTATATAATAGATTTTTAGTATTTTCTCGTTCTTTTTTGGTAGAATTTAGTAGCTTTAAACCTCCACAAGCAGTAGATTCGTCAAATGAAATCTGGTCACACTGATTAACATTTGATTTGACGTTAGATTGACACTGTGAGAGACGATTGCACGAAAAAAAATCTAAATTGATTTCGAATTTCACTTAAACCTCAAAGAGTACGACATAATAAACATTTACCTTTAATAGTAGAATCCTGCCATGGCGTCACTGGAATTGCTAACGCCACATTTATCAAAAATTAAATTACCGGCGCCACAACAATTAGTGTACAAAGATGAATGTGTTTATTCATTTGACAATCCGGTGAGTTGCAGTTTGTTTCATATATAACCTATAATTTTTACAGAGCAATAGAATGTTATTTTAACTCAAATATAATGCTAAATACTAAATGATGATGATTATTTGCAGTTTCGTTTTATCATCGTTACTATCTTTACAACCCCTTTAGTTTCATTTACTAAACATTTATATTTTGCTCTTAGGCAAAATCGACACAATACTATGCTTAGTATATTTTTTGTTGTGTTAGTATTAAAATAAAAATAAATGGTGTGATTTCTATTTATTCTATTCAATATTCACAAAGTTATAAAATTAAGGGAACAGACAGGACATTGATATTGACCCAGTCAAAACATAAGCAATAGTATTAGCCTCATAGTAATTACTAGCATAGAGAGAATCCTAAAATACGAACAAAATTCTTATAGCTGAACTGTTTATACATATGACGTTTAATATGGTACAAAATAAGATAGCTATAATATTCTCACCTTTTTCTTTTACAAGGTTGTGGATGTTTTTCTACTCCATAGACTCCTCTATAGATGTGCCATTAGTGAAACAAAAAACATTGTTGATAAATTAATTTAGTCTAGTAAAATTAGGGATTTTTTATTAGTCCAGTTTGTGATACTTATATTTAAATCAATGAAAGTTGCTATGAAATCTTCTTAAATTCGGCTGGTATTTTTCTTTCTTTTATTTTTCATAGTTAATAGTAACTGTGTTTGTTTAATTAACACTGGGTTTGCTTCACGGAACATACACAGAAGGCACTGCTAATATAGTACAATAACAGCGGCGCGACCGTGGTCTGCCTTCTCTTTTGTCGCTAGGTCACAAATACCAATAAATTGATTACAAATGTATTACCTGTTTTCCTCACTGCTCCCTCAAGGTATTATTCATCATTAATTAATTAATTCCAGCTTATGAATAGTCCATTGCTCAACATAGGGGGAATATTTGCTATAGTTCCCTCTCTTAGCAAGTGGTTTGGCAACTGCAATTTTTTTTATTTTCAGTTATCATGAATATACTGTTGCCTATCTCCTGTTTTATTTCCCTATGTTGTCTTTTACGATTCTTTATTGGGATGGTATAGGATGGATGGTATCTTAGAGCTTCTAAGTAATAATTTTACACCTTACTACATTTATTTTACGCCGCTGCTTCACGGTGTTCGCGCAAAACACTTTCAAGGATTGACGCGAGAGGGCGCTCGGCGCGGTGCATTCATACCGGTTTGACTTTCGGAAATCTTCAGCTCATGGGCCCCTGAGGATTGGATCCTTTAAGGGAGCAGCCGTAGGCCGTAACACACGGCGTTATCAAGATCCTGCTTTCAGTTCATGATTTTGAAATATTTACATCCAAGCAGATAAAGCTTTGTTGAATATAAGTAGTTGATAATTTTCCACTTAGCAAGCGGTAAATATATATATAAATTAAAATCGATTGACGCATGTATGAAAGATCATCACTTGAGAAAGGCTGGCCCGATTTTCATAAACACTCGCACTCACAATTGGACCCGGTAAGTAGCGCTGTTGTCGAGATCTAGAAAACAGTTGTGCAAAGCTGGGGCTGATCATTAGTCAGTTTATAAAATTGGGATTACAAATGGGATCCAACTCGCTTATGTATCGTGTGTCTGTCAAGACTTAGTATTCATACCTCCCTAACTATTAATTTTTAAAGTTAGCGAAACGAATAATTGCAATGTAATCATTGCTTGAATTAAAAAACAATTTACTTGATAGTTCGAATAATAATTGGTCTAGTCTTATTTTCTTTATATTTTTAGACATATAATAAAGTAATAAAAATAATTAACTAACCAAAAACTAGTATATCAACATATATAATTTCTAGTATACTTGGCATAGTATAAAGAGACCAAAGATGCCCACTTGACATTTCTATTCCCACGCATGAATTACACGCAACATATTTCAATAGATTTGTCTCATTTTGCCTTATTTGAAAATAAAATTAGGAAAAGTTAGGCAAGTATATTGACTGAATTTATGTAAAATTGTAGGTTCTCTTTATGCATATGTATATAATTATGTAATTACTCTAAGGTAGTAGCTTAGAGGTGAAACCAGTGTCACTTTCTTCCTTTTTTCTTCGACGTAACATTGACATGTTTTTATCTAAAAATTTGTAATGGTTCATCTAACTCCCTGGAATTATTATCTGATGTTACTTTAAATGTTCCCATGACAAGTATGGGGAAATACAAACTTCTTTACATTTATGTTTATTATGTTTCAGCTTGTACGAATTATAAACATCATTATTTCATGATAAGAAATGCTAAATTTATAAATTTGTTTAAATTTGATATTAATTCATGTTATACTTCCCTGAGTGTGGCCAATAGTACCTTAACCCGAAAATATTTTGGTTAAAAATCTTTATCTTAATTTTTAAAATATTTGTAATATAGTTTTTAACTTTAAGGTGTTGTTAACTAATTGATTTACCTTTCATCTGGCTTTTGGTTATCTCCCTTATTTTTAAATCTAAAAATGGAAACTTGTAAATGGCTTAGTAGTTACATTAATGCACTTTTTTATTTAAAACATAAGTAATTGCTATAAGTTTTCCGAATAAAATAATAAAACACATAGCAAACATTGCCAAATTAAAACCAACATTTCCAGAAAGTAAAAAAAATGAATTCACAACAATGTGGACAATTAGTACAAAAGTTGATTTTAAGCCGATGCTATGCATGTATAGTTGCTAATGCCCATAGATTTATAATATATTTTTTATAAATTAATTTTTAAAAGTTAAGTTAATTTATAAAAAGTACTGATGTTTATAGACTAAAGCATTCACTTATCATCAAGTGGAATGTGTGCTCAATTGTCACCATTATGTTATAATAAAAATTTTGGCATTTATCATTTAATTTATTAGATTGTTTCATTCCTTACAGCATAAATGCCATTTCAGCTTTAGTCAATATCTCTCTCTGCCTCACTCTTCCTTTCTAATAGTGTTGCTATTGATCTGACTCTTACTCAAATAAATAGTATCTTTAATCTTTGTTACTCCTACTCTCTAAAGTCAGTCAACAGACACAATCTGTTTCACTTACACTCATATTCTTTGAAATTTTCATCAAATCATGAATTTCATCAACTTTTATTATAACTTTCCAGCTTTTCACTAAAGTTCTGATACATTTTTACAGCAGGAAGTGGCAAAGTTAGTTTGAAATGTTTTCTTGTGTTTTTTTGAAGTTTTTTTTAAAATACGTTACCCACACTCTAGGATTTTCTCCTATATCGTGGAGGCAGTTTACAAATATAAATTGCATGAGGACAAACATCCAGACCCGGAACAATTATCTGTAGGCCATACAAATACTTGTTCCGTGCGGGATTGAAACCCGCTACCCCCAGCGCAACAAATCATTGCTAAGCCTCTGTGCCACGGAGCCATCATTATATACACTACCAAACCAAAAATTGGAGTAGCAAAACTTGTACTAGTACCTAAAAATGGTATACAAGCTGAATATTTAAACATTTTTCAATATAATGCTTATATCACCACAAATGCTAAGTTTTTTATGAATAAAATACCCTGATCAAAACCTTACCTACAACCCTGACTCTGGATGTTGTCGGACACTGTTGGATGTTGAATTGAGGACACCCTTTATAATTGTTGGTACATCTGTTGGTAATCTTGCAATGGTAGGCTAATTTTAAGTTTACTTGTTACCAATTTATAAAAAAAACGGAGAGGTTCAATATACCTATATGTATGTTCATTGTTCACCAATTTCTCTGAATACTTCAGCAATGGCCCCATATACATTTGAAGAAAAATTTCCACCCCTAAGGGTAGAAAAATAGAGGTGTAGTTTGCAACTGTTTAGACCACATTT